TTTTTTTTGGAAGGAAGCTGCGCCTACTCGGGTGTTTTATGAAGTAATGAACTTTGTTGCTAAGCTGTAAAAGGGGTTTTATTATTGACTATTGTCACTTTATCGGTGCGGCCAGTAGGAGTGAAACTCGCTCTGTGTGTACTGGTGCCTGGTACTCCTGTTGTTAAGGGTCTGTCAACATTTCCATTATTAAACTTCTGGTTTGAAGGATTTATAACTTGGCTCCAGGAGTTTACTCCAGGCTGAACCTTGGCACGTACTCTCCCAGCCTAGGAGTTAATTCATTTTCCAAATACTCGAAAAATCAGTCTGGCCTTCATTTTGCAAGACTGAAAAAGAAAATAGAAAGGGGTGGGGCTGAACCGCTTCTGTAGTTTTGCTGCCTTCTGACCTGCAGACCTTTAATAACACACTGAAATCCAGCGAGGAATAAGGTGGTTACGTACAGTTGTGCAAATCCTATGGCAGTTCCATGGTGCACGGACGTGAGCTGGTATACATCCAGCTAACACTCGGTGCCGTCTCCTGTTAAAGACGGTATCTGAGGTTAAATAGCTATCGCGTTTGAAATGTGCTTAACGTGTGTGACGTTCATACAACTTCTGAGCTTAGCGTTATCTTCCTTGTGTACGGTACTCTCCATCTGTAATGCATATTTAGTTGGATCGTCACTCCATGTGCCAGTCTGTGGTTCCTAAAACATAAACTCGAAATCCAGGTAAAGCCAGAGAACCGCTTCATTGTGGACTGTCTTTTAAAATAAGACTGTTTGCATTTTCCTTTTTATTTAGTAGTGCCACAAATATATTCTGTTTAGCAGAAGTCTTTAGGTTTCTGTAATTCTCCCTGCTTCTCAAGAATTAAAATGCCTCAAATTAAGTTGATTTGCAACTTACGTATCTTATTTAAATGTAAGCCAATTCGTTTCCAATTTAATATATGAAACTTTGAATGTGCTTCCGTACACATGTAGTAAAACAGAACTGTCAGTCTCCATGACAGTATATAAATGGGGCCTCCTGTGTGGTGCAATACCTTGTGCAGAGAGGTGTGGCAAGGGCTGATACATGCATCTTATTATAGGTGTCCAATGTTGTTCTGGTGTATCTGCAAAATCAATTAATTAGTAAATATATAAAAAAAGGTCAATATTGCTTTAGTCCAGTTTTCAGAGCTGCTTTTTCTGTGTCACGTTGGACACGTATTTACTACTGGCAAAGAAGTTCTGTGTACTTACAGCTGGTGACTGGTGAATG